TTTCTTCACATTAAGATGAAGTCGATCTGATTTTTGGTGTAGTGTGTCCTGGTGTCTGGTGAAATCAAATCCATGTCGCTTTGTGGATATCCTTGTACTTGAACACAGTGCCTGACTCCAATCACTAAATCGTTGAATGCACAGAATTCTGCAAACAATTCTCCATTCTCGTTCATCACCTCACCGAGCACTTCTCTACCCATGGTTAGTTCTCTTCCTGTGTTGTCCCCTCCCAGTTTGGCATTCATGTCGCCCATTAGAATTTTGATATCACCAACTGGGGAGGGGTCTTGTCCAGTGTTGATTGCAGTTGTCTGTAGAATTCCCCCTTCTTCTCTTGCTCTGCATTATTTGTAGGTGCATAGTGTAGCGTAGCATTATATGGTTGTAACCTTCATTCCTTCCTTTTGAGTTGAACCTTGCTGTCATGATCCTGGAGGAGATCGCTTCCCACTGTATGAGAGAGAGCCTTGGATGCTGTTGGGGACATCATGATAGCCACTCGAAAACTCAGTGTGCTCGTGGTTGTCGTGTCGTCTGGGTGACAATATCGGAGTAGATTACTGACTCTCCAGTTGACAGTTTGGAGAGTCCACTCCCATTCCATCTGCTTCCTCAGATTTCTAGTACTTCTCTGCCATACCATCTCATCTCTTTTGGAATCTGGACAGTCTTGCTAGGTTCATACATGGTGTGGACATTCCATGTCCCTATGTTTACTTTTGCTTTGATTGAGAGAAGATACATTGGCCAATTGGCCTCCTGAAGGATTTCACCAAATGGCTTCATTTTGCCTCTCCGATTCCATTGAGGAATAATTTTATTTTTATCTTTTATATTTTGTTTGTGCTTTGAAGTTCCTGTGGTGGTTGGATTTGTTTTATGTGGTAGGGTTGGTAGCCCTATGCCCAACCTTCCTTTTGTTCGGGCTTAGGACCGGCTAGTAACTAGTGAACTAATTAACCAAGAGAGGTTATTACTTTGATAAGGGAGACCAAAAATGTCGAAAAGTAGCATTGAGATTATATAACAAATGGTTTACAGTTAAAAAGTACTTTGAACTATTTGATGAACAACTGCAAACTTTTCAACAAAAGGTTACCAACTTACTTGAATCAACACTTGTTCAGTCAAAGGGAATAGAGAAACGTCACTCATTTTCATGATGTACTTGAAGTAAGTTTAAGTTTCAATGATAGTTTTCAATCAGTCACTTCACTTTCTTCTTTCCATGGATCAGTTAGTAGACAATGAACTTCAAAGTAGACATTTTCTGTTTTATAAACCTCTTCCTGCTATCCAGAAGATGTATTAGTTTCTGTATGTAAAGGATAATATTTTTGATAACCTAATGTGATAGGGTTTGATTATTGGATACAAAGAGTGTGGTCATGAGGGCTGAACAGATATAAAAAGTAGTCAGGAGTTTAAAGATTTGACCAACATTTATTTTGATTTCCTAGATTTTGCGGGTTAAATGATTTTGAAATTCTGAAAATGCTTTAAAAATCTCCTTACTTTCAGATAATTTTCTACACAATGATCGGATTTCTTTGCACTATATCACGAACTGACAGAAGTAGGAAACCGTGTATCACTGAACTCCTAGTAGCTGAGTAGTTGACTCGTTTGCCGAGATGCTTGGATCTCTTGTGTTCGACCTCTAGCTTGGACGTGTTTGTGTACTGCTGAAGAGTTACATGCAATGAAGAAACAACAGTCTAGTACTCCCAGGTTTTCACAGGTTCTGCAACAGCCATCAGTCTATGATCAATACCACCTAAGAAATAAAATATCCACCAACTGAACTCAGACACTTTGGCTGAATGGTTAATGGTTTCGCCATGATACCGGGAGGTCCTGAGCTCCGTTCTTTAGCCGAGTCGGGGTGCATCCAACTGAAGAGTTCCCTAACGAGACGAAACTGCTGTGTCCGTAGGTTTTCCATCGTTCTCCAACTGATTTCAGTTCATGATGAATAATAACTTGAAAATTAAGTGTCTCTAACCTTTCTCACCTCTTTCGATTATAATAATCCTTATTCTGTTTATATATTAATGTTGTAGGTGGTTAAAACTAAAAATTGATCATATTTTGGTCAGTTAATTTCACTACAGTATTAAGATATCTGAATATGCTAGTAATATCATGTGAGCTAATGTATTTCTCTGGCTATATTTTATCATAGGTGATGCAAAATTATGTTAAATCTTTATGAACAATAAGCTTATAATAAGATAACTGCTTCTGATTGCCTACAACATATAATTGTGTAAGAGATGCTGAGTGGATGTGGAGAAAACAGAATGAAGTTCTTTGCATCAAAATAACGCTCTATTAAATGGCATCTGTTTTACAAAAAATTACCGTATGCATTTCTATGCTTTTGAAAGTCAGTAATTACGTTATCAGTGGGCATTCGATACCTTATGTTGAATTATTATATGAGTAGTTCACATATCATTCATCCAATCACTGCATAACTGTAAGCTGAATAGCAGTTAGACTGATTCGCTACTTATACGATGATGGTAAGTGACTATTAAGTCATATTGTAAGAGAGGGAAATTATCACTAAACTTAAAACAGTTGGAATATGGTAGTATGGTTGATTGAAATGAGATGAAATTAAACCCAGATATCAATTATCTTAACAAATCTCTGTGATACCGATAAGCTTTAAAAGGAGATGTAGGACAAATCAAAAAGGTTTTTATTGAGGTGAATGTCACCAGGAAAAAGCACAAGACATACCCGTTTGTTAATCATCATTAAACATTTATCGGTTTTATGCAGCCTATGCACATATATATATATATATATATATATATATATATATATGATGTTTGTAACTGGAAAATGATATATCCAGATTTGAAGTTGTTATTCATCGTAGACTGACATCAGTTAGAGGAACAAAGGAAACCTGGGAGCACTGGACAGCTGCTTCGTCCTAGTATGGGGCTTCTCAGCAGTGCACACTCACGACCCCGCCCTCCAGGGATCGAACCCGCGACCTTAAGGTTCCGCGAGCTAACAGAAGTTGGAAATGTGGAGCATTAGAATCTGACTCCGTGGCTCAATGGTAAGGTGCAGGTGTAGGTTACGGGTTCGATCCCTAGGAGGCGGGGTCGTGGGTGGGCACTGCTGAGGAGTCCCACACTAGGACAAAACAGCTGTCTAGTGCTCCCAGGTTTCCTTTGTTCCTCCAACTGATGTCAGTCTACAATGAATAACAACTTGAAATATTTCCAAATCTCCACAACTCCCTCAAAATTCAATATCCAGATTTATTTGAACTAACACTTTTTTGTCTAGTAATAATTCTGACTGGTTTCTTCAATTATACAGCGAATGATATGCATCCGAATCTTATAAAACCAAATTATCACAAATCTGGATGTTTGTGATTGATATTAAGTTGAAAGAATACTCCCAAGTTTATTTATTCAAACATTTCTGGAGACAGATAACCAGACAGATAGATAGACAAAATCAACGTGGAACCTCGCACACAAGTGCATTGGTTCAAGTTGTCACACTTTACAGTAGGACACAAAGAACAGGTGGATAGAAAAGGAGTGATATCAAAGTAGACAAAGTAGAAAATCTGAAGATAGAGGTTACTGTGAATATTCAAGCTTTAGAAGATGTCAAAGAGTGAATATATGTGTGCCATTGTGAGCGATTTTCAGTCATGTCAGTAAGAGTCCTAATCCATTGTTTCCTTTCTTCTCGTGGAGCCCAGTCAGGAAGTCTATATCTCCCCACAAAACTCAGAATAACGGTCAGAGACTTTATCAACTGGTTCTATGTCTTGGTTCGACCACCTTGAACCCTTTCCAAACTTAATCCAACTTCCCCTAGGATATCTAAGTAGGCAGCTGTTTGGTATGCACAGAACACGGTCCAAGCCATCTCAATCGACTAATATTCACAAACATATCAGTCAACTTGCCTGTCTTGCCTAATGATCTTCTCCTAACCTCAACATTGCTTACACGGTGATTCCACAAAAATTGAGCAATGCTAGAAAGACATCTATGAACAAAATCCTGTAATCGCTTGATATCTTCTGCAGTTTAAGGCAAGGTAAGTGGACTACAACCAAGAACGAGATAGTACAACAACGTGTGATTGTCGGCTAGGTGCCATGGTTATTATTTATCTGAATCCGCAAGACTATTAGACGGAGACACAGAAAAAAAGCATTTTTCACTCACTATACTGACACCAAGCGTGACCACAGTAAGCTTAAGTTTATTGGATATGTGATTGTTTCTCGGAAAAAATCAAGATCCGAAAAAATCATTGTTGATTTGGATGTGGTTAACTGGCGAAATGGTGATTCTTATGACTAATTACTTCCAACATTACATCATCAACTGTTCTAAACATGTGGTGAATATCTCCTAAAAATTTCTTTTGGTATCCAAAGTAAAAGACATGAGATGGACTAAATAAACTGGTCGTGAGAAGAAGAGTCTTTGACAATTATCATCCAGTTCTAAATTTCTACAAGAACCACATTCAGAGGGATGGAAGGAGTATGGATACTTGATACCTAAAACTACGTGTATTGAACACTAAGTAACCAAGGTGATGCAGTCATCTTACAGACTGTAGGCTAAAATCTGCTTATCAGAGTAACTTGCATTAACTGAGTTTTTCATCTCATTTACGCCTCCCATGTTTACATATCCACGACACTACTTAAATGAAGTATTAACAATGACTGAAATGCCAATATCGTTTATTCGTTGGTTGGTAATATCATAGAAACAAATTGTTTCCTAAATTCTGTTCATTCTACACACAAGAAGTTACCTGTCAGCCAATCATCTTTACGTCTTGTACCCATTTTGCGAGTGAATTCAATTGTAAAATCAACAGTTTGATTGGTCCCTATGAACTGTGAGTTGATTGGTCGAAAGTTGGAGATTTTATTTATACCTTATAGAATTAACCTTTCAACTGGTGTATTGTTCTTCCTGATTATTATGCTTCTCCATAAGAAATCACTTGGAAATCTTATTGTAATCTTTAAAATTATTCTACTTACATTTCATATTATCTTAATTGTTCATATACATTTAAATTACCTCAGTTCAAAACAGATTGTTTATAATTATACACGCGAAATACTTCTCATTACAAATACAAAGTATGATGATACTATTGAGACATGTCGAACAGTTTGCAAAAATATTCCAAGTATTCCTAAGCATAAAATAGATGAGCTTAAACAAATTGGAGTATTACCATTAGATACAAAATTATTGGATAATATGAGTGTAATAAACGATGCTTTCCTACCACATCATATTGGTGGTTCATGGATGTTTAAAGAGGAGACTAACAACTCAAAAGTAAACTGTAACCATGCTACAGAATCTGGTGTAGCTATTATATTTGTATGTAGAGATAGGTGGAAGCAGTTAAACACTACATTGTCTACACTTATTCCACTTCTTCAGAAGCAACGTTTATGTTATCGAATATTTGTTATTGAACAAGAAGGTGATGCTTATTTGAATAAAGCAATGTTAATGAATATTGGATTTATAGAAGCAAAAAAACATTTCCTTTTTAATTGTATTATTTTTCATGATGCAGATTTAGTACCAATGAATGATAGAATTCCTTATGGATGTGATGAACAAACTAAGCAAGCAGTTATACATTTAAGTGTTAGTGTAAGTTCATGGAATTATATTCTCCCCTATAAAACATTAATTGGTGGTGTTTTAAAAATTTCAAATGAACACTTTATCAACGTCAATGGATATTCAAATAGTTATTGGGGATGGGGTGCTGAAGATGATGATTTTGAGAAACGTTTAAATGCTTTAAACATTAAATATATTCATATAAATTCAACAATTGGACGTTATTATGCTTTACCGCATAAAAAACAAATTCGTTCAAAACTTGAATTACGTTATAGTCTATTGAATAAAGCAGTTCAACGTATGAATCAAGATGGTTTAAACAGTTTACAGTACAATCTTACAATAATATCAGAGAAACAATACTATACCTATTTTCTAGTTTCAATTAAATGACTGTTTAAAGACTATTTTCTCCCCCTTTTTTTTCACTACATATCTCAATCAGAGTTATACGAAATACTGGTGAGAGCGGCATATTTCTTGATCTTTATCTGCTGTAATTTTGAAGACACTGAAACCACTTTTAACACCGAAGAGAAATAAAGATCTATTTGTAAAACTCTATTATTGATAGAGATTCATTTTCAGAGATTTATTCCAGCCACGTTGACGGACATTTCACATTGCACTGACGGAATTTGTAACCGATGAAGCTACACTAATGGTGTTCATATGACAGCAAATAATGGCACAGAAACGGTGGAATGAATGATCGAGTACTTGGAATACGCCATTCTAAGCTTTAGTAGACATGTTGTCAGATAATTGACTTGAAAAATCATAGACGAATAAGCACAAATGTGATAGAAATATCTGATAGGATAAATACTGGACAGCAGTGGAATGTTAGGCGCAAGTTTTGTCGTATGCAATAACAAAATCAGATTACCAGTACTGCTAAGTCGTTCACACAGTATTCTATCTTACAGTAGTCATTAGCCAACTCTCTCTTAACCAGTCAGTTACAGGAGCTGTTGTTATTATTATTTGTCCCTTGGGTTCCTAGTGGAACATAGGACTTCAGTAGCACGTATCCATTTCACTCTCTTCTCTGCAGTCTTTTCAACCTGAACCCACAACTGCCTCCACAGGAGCTTTCACTTCTTCAAATGATCTCCTTCACGTCACCCTCCCGTCGACGCCCAGCTCGTCGTTCTTCCTTCGGATTCCACTGGAGAGCCTAGCGCGTGATGTCCCCAATCAGTCTGCTCAGTGTATGCCCAATCCAATCCACCAAGATTTCCTTCTGCATATTTGTTGGGTGACGAGTTTTCGGTTGGTTCGTTACCAGGCCAAACTTCCCTGCTGCTTATTCTTTCTGGCCATCCGATCTTCAGTATTGAGCGTAGGCAGTTGTTGATGTATGTCTGCAGTTTGCTGGAAATGCTTAACGTGAAGCATCAAATTTCTCAATCAACACATAGAAGCACTGACTTGACTGGATTGGTGTTGAAAATCTGGATCTTGTTCACGCTTCATGCTGGGTACAGTTCAATGGAGTAGATCTCGACACTGATTTCAGGTTAATGAAGACCTGTCTTGCTTTTCCGATCCTGGCTTTGACGTCCTCATCTGTGCCTTCGGAAGAATAGCTGATAATCAATTATGTCTGGCTGCTTCCATTACTTTAGGTATAACCAAGAGTACTGTAATTGGCCTGCAGTTTGCTGCGTAAAATATAATATATTCTCTTAATACCAGAATAGTCCTCCGAGTATTCTATGATGAGGCAAAGCGACTCCAACGTCAGTCATTATGTTACAGCTGTTTCTACTGTAAGATGTATAGCATTACTATTCGAATTTAGATCCATCCTGAAATTCCCTTTCTCCCCAAAAAATGTTTGGCGGCTATGCTCATCTCAGCTAGCTCATACGTCATAACCCACAATATTAGTTCATGTTAAAAGTATTTCGGAGTACTAAGTAGCTAATGAATGAGTTTGTTGGTTCGAAATTGTTTAAAGTAATTAAATCTCTAACAGATAAACCATAGATACCACGTCTGGTCATCCCAAGTTTTGTTAAGGTTTCTAGACAGACTTTGTGATTTGTACATCCTGCTACCAACTCATATCAGAATCCCTTTGTATCGTACCTGAACAAATTTTCGTATTGGTTTCCTTAAATATGGTCTCTCAAGGGTGTAAAATGCAAACCACAGTTACATTTTCAACTTCAGTTACCTAGTTCCCCAACTATTTCTCGGGTTAAAGTAGCTTAAGGATAAGGGTAACTACAGTCAGCTAAGCATTTTTTCCTCGTTAACTGGTTGTGAGCGTAAATTAATTGTCTACAACCATTCAAAGAAACAACTCGCTTCTGCATTATCCAATATAGTCAGAAGAGTCGTATACTTACTTTCATGGAGCTTTAAACCAATTTCCCAGTGTTTTCTTTTTAGTCTGGTATTACATAACAGAATAAATGAAACTACTTCGTTTTCGCTTTTCTACAAAGACGTTTCTGTAGATCTAAAATGTGTACTTCCTTACTATTTGATTCAATAGGGATATTTACATCCTCTTCAGACCTTTATTAATCACCTATGTGAGTAGTCCATTGGTAATTAAACCTGATGAAGTTCCTTCAGCGAAACTGGAAAGGTTTATTTTTAAAATGGTTGACATCTTTCATTATGGTTGTTATCACTTTTCACCTTCACTGGAGTTTCGAATACAACTCAAAGATGGACATTTTACTTTAGATAGACAGTTAAAAGATATTAAATTAGACTCACCGTTCATTAAATTGACAGCCATAGGAAGGTATGTCATTACACATATCCCAAGAGATTGTCAAGTTCTTCGATCTAGCTCCAATAAAAGCCTCAAGATAGTTCTGAGTGAGCTTTTTTAGAAAATGATCTTTCTACTTATAATATGCATCTGCGGTTCACCTAAGTTATCTATCTAAAATATTAACGATCTATGATTTATGATAGGAAGCGGCTTAAATGGAAATCGGCATTCTCAATCATGAGCTACTATTGTAGTTTTGGATTTCAGCCTTGTTTCATGTCACTGTGTAATCAGGAAAGACCTTGTTAGACAACTTTTCCTTCAGCTGACCAACCAGAATAAGTACCCAGCTTCTGACCTAATGGCTTTATTTTCTGAGAAAAAAGTGCATATAAATGACGTGTTTCTTGTGAAATAAATTTTTCTTTCTTACGGTCACAGGCCAGTCTTCTGATTTTCGGTGCTCAGTGAAGTATCATGTTCTGAGGGAGAACAGTTGCTATTCGTATTCAGTCCAAGTATCTCACTGAGTTAGTAACGTTCTCGTATCTCATATTACTCTGTCAGTCACTTCTATTTATCACTTCTACAGATGGCTTCTGCGCGCACAGATATCTTCACTCTAATTTGTTCACTACACTATGGTGGTTAGCATGTAAACTCAACAACAGAGAGCTTTTATCAGCTAGCTTTCAAACTTACTTCTATGGAACTAAAACCGTTTGCCTTACCAACGCTCTATGCATAGTCAGTGGTGCTTCATTAACTGAGATACTTGTTGCATAGTTTCGTTTTCTGGCGTATTTACAACAGAATGCTTCATGTGAGTGAATACCACATTCGGCTCTCTTACATCATGTTTCTGTCAGATCCTTCAGGTGATTAGTGAAGAAGCGTATTTTATCCTTTACATTTTTACTCATTTACGCATTCAACCCTCGCTAAAAGTTGTTTAAAATGGCTACTACCACCCTTAAGTGTAAAAGATTCAATGTCCCTGAGACTAATTCTGTCTATAAGCGAGGCTTTTGCATTCGATGTAGGTTTCAAATCATATTAACAATCTCCTTAACAACAGTCAGAATAAAGTTCAAATCAAGAATGCTCTCTATCTCTCGATGTGTAAAACTGTTATGTTTAGCCATTTTCTCGTGATCATGTGGGGTCCAATTTCGCAGTCAGGTTCACTTCATAACACTACATATCACTGAAGATGCAAACAAACCTCTTTGCTTTTTGAAAACGTCAGTGAATGCTAAGAAGTTTTCTATTCTTGCCTTGAGGATGTCGGGATAGAAGAAGCTTAGACTGAGCACAGACCTCACACAATGTACGTATCTACATGTTAAACACCTGACAGTCTGAAAGGATTTGAAGTGACTCCGATTCTTACCATGTAAACCACTCAAGCACATGCTGCAGATTCCATCGTGGTTACCATTTCGTGATTAATGTGCGATGTATTTAAAGAAGAGCACTTTCTCACTTCTTCATATTATGTACCTCATACACCGCGGAAATTCTTATTCAAATGATCTACCATTACTGCATTTCATATATTTAGATAGAAGAAACTGTCGAAAGACACTGGCTTTCATCATTTTTACACAGAAAACAAGGAAGTTAAACGTGGGCAGAGATAAAAACCTGCTGCCAAGATCGCAGTGTAAAGCCTTCCTACCTCTCATCATTTCAACAGTGTACCTTAAAAGTGTTTCTGAAGTGGCAGAGCACAATAAAAAGCTGAATGAATAACTATGCTGGACGTAATTGGATACCTGAGTTGAATATGAAACTTTTCACCAACCCACAGTAATATGAGGAAACAAAGAGCAGTTTGTGACTCCAAGGATGTCCTTATTCAAAGAAAATACATTACATATATACAGTTTATATCTACAAAGAGATGCTGTAGGTCAGGAAGAATATAACTTACCCCAATTACCTCCAGGCATGACTGGAAGCTGTGTCTGTTCAGAAGTTTCAACTCCAATGAGAGTAGTGAACTTAGCAGATTCAAAATCAAGCCATTCATGTTTCAACTGACCTTCGAAATAAATAAAACATTTGCATACTTTAGTCACTGAATGCTAACCATTAAATCATTCGGTCACCAAGTACTAGATCTCACTGTGTTTTAGTGTGATACACATAAAAACAGTGGCATGTCCCCCATATTTTTTCAGCCTTTTTTGAAATGGATATTCGCAAAAAGCCAAATGAATAGCTGAAAAACAATGTGGTGGATTTTTGAACTTCTTTTAATGATATTCTTTCCAATATACCGAATTTTATTTCATTGTGTGACCTGAATACAATAATATTCATTCTCTTTAATAAATTAGTCTAATTAATAACCAAACTGATGAGTATGATGGTGATTTCCACTTTTATTGTCATTTCATTGTATATGTTGGTAATTCCCACATATGCATGCCAATTTAGAGAAGTAAGACTTACTGAAAATGCCTATTGAATATTTCTAAGGATTAACTCAGTAATAAAAGTGTACTAAATTATAGATAATGCTTATTCAGAGTATAATATTTTATAACTGGCTTCATAATGGCTCCAGTGAAGTCTAAAACTTATGTTTCGTCCTACTTAAGATTCATTATCTGAGTATACCTCCATCCCAGTGAGTGATGGTGTTCCCACTGAGCCTTAAAGTCAATATTCAATGCTCTAAGCGCTAGAGTATTACTCTTTACCCCTGTGACTCATGAAAGTCACCTGTTGGACATTGGGTATTAGTTACTGTTTATTGTTACGTGTAAATTCCGATTATTTTACTGGATCGACTTACTCTACTCCAGTTTGCATTTTGGTTGTTGCATGAATGCTTTGATACTGTCTGAAGATTCCATATAATTTTGTTAACGTGATATTTTACTATATTGAAGTCTTAAAATTAAATGTTTGTTTATTTGCAGATTTATCAAATTTCTTTTCAAGAATAGTGACGTTTTATGTCAGGTATTCCAGTATCGAATTGTAGAAGTTGTTAGAAAGTTATATGACAGTAGCGACGTTCCTCTTTTAAACAAATAGTGTGCCTAATGATGTACACTTCCCACTTTTCACATGATGTGATAGATATTGTCAACAGCTACGATGTTGTGCATTAGTATGCTTTATTTTTATATCATAAACAGTAAGCGTTTTTTAAAAAGGGAATGATGTTTTGCAAAAACTGTTTATTTGTAGCAAACTCTAAACAGGTATTTTAGTTATTGATGATCAACAGTGAAACCCAGAGCGTGTGTTCTGACCTTCTAGGGATTCATCAAGTGTAATTTTATGCATTTCGGTGAGTGATATTATTCCCGGTGAGACTTAAATGCATCAACTGTTGCTTCAAATGTCAGGAGGTTACTGAGTCACAATAGCTATCTGATGGGCAAGGAGTACAGTTTGACGTAACGGTTTGTAATTCCACACAATCTGAACTGAATTGCTCAGCAGTATGGAAACATCTGAATAATAGCTCATAAAGCTGTTAGTTCGGACTAGCATCATAATCAGGAGGGAAGTGTAGGTATCTCTCAGTTTACATAACTGCTCAGAAACGACTTACTTTTCAGTAATTCACACAGAAGTTAACTCTCACAACTTGTTTAACCTAGAAATGCTAATCGTTAACAGATATATGCTCTAGTCTTTGACCATTTTTTTCTATGGCTTTATTTTACCATTTCTGGATTTTATTCATCTTTGATTTCCTTTCATAATACAGACATTGTTAATTGTTCGGTGTTGCGCAATAAAACCGTTGGTCTCTTGAAATTTCACATCTAACAGTCTGCTAAAACTCACAGTATTCAATTCTTGCACATTATCGGAAGTCCAATTCCACGTAAGAAAGGTTTATCACTCTCAGATATTAAAATATGTTGTACTCGAATAGAAAAGGTGTAAGTTTTATCCACTGAAGAAATGTTACAGTGGCGTTCGACAGGACTTGTGTTGTTGATCACTGAGCTACACCACGACTGAATTAATCAAGTTAATCCTTACAAACCTGTTAGAGCTGTACAGCCTCTTACAATTCCATCAGGTCTCGTTGGATAGTAACATGTTCGTCATGAGAACTCACCATCCTGGGTCTGATACGTGGAGCAATCGGAGTTGGGTACTACTGGAGAACTGCATACTAAGATAATGATAAAATTGTTCAGTACTCCTAAATTTTTCATGGTTCCGCAAGTAATTGCTTGGTTAAATGAATGTTTTGTTCGAAAATGAAATGTGACAACACTTGAAGTAAAGGAGTTATTTTGAAAAAAATAGATGAATTTTCAACTCCATACTTATTTCATGATACATCTGTATCTTGATTAATTAAATTAGTTTGTTTTAAAATGTGTTTTTACAAACAGTAATTTTTGTGACTTGTAGCCGTGTGAACAACATAAAACTCTGTTCAATGATTACTTGAACAACAACATAAAGTCACTCATGTAGATTGTCAACGAATAAATGATCAAGAATGAATGATAATAAAATAAGATTTAAAAATATCCCAAATATGAAAATATTGGAAAGAAATACAAAGTATAGGATCTATCATCTTTACTACCAATATAATGAGTTAATAGTGTAGTGGGAGTCGCTGATAAGAATGGATATAAGTAGCATATGTTGAGAGGGTGGCAGAAATCGTAGAGAATTACCAGCAATGGGTAAGGGTTCTGCCAAGACGAACGCAAGATATCACGCAGGCGTATTACACTGAGTGTTGCTGATAAGGATGTATGGAGAGCAAATCAACGGTGAAGCAGAAGGGGGAACGAAGCACATTTTGCAAATGAATGTTTTAGTGCAAGGTGTACCATGCCTAACGACTACCATCCCGACGCTTTCGGTGGGAGGGAAATTTAACCCCACCTTCGTACCTATCCCCTAGCTTCTTCATTAGTGGTTAAAAGGGAGTGTCAACATAATCTACGAATCGGCAACAGTATGTTTGCTATAAAGCCACTTCAAGGAAATATTCACCTGAGGATATACTTTTGGATAGAAATATGCACCAACTGAGAAAAATAATCAATCCTATGAAAAGATAATGTTTACAAGATAATCAATAAGAAATTCACATAAGACTAAGGGGAAATTTTAAAAAAATGACCATGACACAAGTTCGAAACAGAATTACTGAATAGATACATAATCAGTTACATTTTATTCATAGTCAATAAAATCACTGAAGTATTTCAAATATCGGAATATGTTTTTCGTACAAGTTATTCAGATGAATATGTTCAAGCATAAATAATATATGATGACGATGATCATGAATGTTTTAGATAACAGAGAGAAGTTTCGATCTACTCTTCATCAGAATAAAAGTAATATAAACATTGTATCTTTATATAGATGTTTTTTAAATGAATATGTACACTATAATTTATAAAAATTAATGTTTGATTTCATTCTATTACTTACTGTTAGTGAAAAAAGTAGTAATATACCTCTGATTGAGATATGTAGTGAAAAAAAAGGGGGAGAAAATAGTCTTTAAACAGTCATTTAATTGAAACTAGAAAATAGGTATAGTATTGTTTCTCTGATATTATTGTAAGATTGTACTGTAAACTGTTTAAACCATCTTGATTCATACGTTGAACTGCTTTATTCAATAGACTATAACGTAATTCAAGTTCTGAACGAATTACTTTAAACGATTTTGAACCAACAAACTCATTCATTAGCTACTTAGTACTCCGAAATACTTTTAACATGAACTAATATTGTGGGTTATGACGTATGAGCTAGCTGAGATGAGCATAGCCACCAAACATTTTTTGGGGAGAAAGGGAATTTCAGGATGGATCTAAATTCGAATAGTAATGCTATACATCTTACAGTAGAAACAGCTGTAACATAATGACTGACGTTGGAGTCGCTTTGCCTCATCATAGAATACTCGGAGGACTATTCTGGTATTAAGAGAATATATTATATTTTACGCAGCAAACTGCAGGCCAATTACAGTACTCTTGGTTATACCTAAAGTAATGGAAGCAGCCAGACATAATTGATTATCAGCTATTCTTCCGAAGGCACAGATGAGGACGTCAAAGCCAGGATCGGAAAAGCAAGACAGGTCTTCATTAACCTGAAATCAGTGTCGAGATCTACTCCATTGAACTGTACCCAGCATGAAGCGTGAACAAGATCCAGATTTTCAACACCAATCCAGTCAAGTCAGTGCTTCTATGTGTTGATTGAGAAATTTGATGCTTCACGTTAAGCATTTCCAGCAAACTGCAGACATACATCAACAACTGCCTACGCTCAATACTGAAGATCGGATGGCCAGAAAGAATAAGCAGCAGGGAAGTTTGGCCTGGTAACGAACCAACCGAAAACTCGTCACCCAACAAATATGCAGAAGGAAATCTTGGTGGATTGGATTGGGCATACACTGAGCAGACTGATTGGGGACATCACGCGCTAGGCTCTCCAGTGGAATCCGAAGGAAGAACGACGAGCTGGGCGTCGACGGGAGGGTGACGTGAAGGAGATCATTTGAAGAAGTGAAAGCTCCTGTGGAGGCAGTTGTGGGTTCAGGTTGAAAAGACTGCAGAGAAGAGAGTGAAATGGATACGTGCTACTGAAGTCCTATGTTCCACTAGGAACCCAAGGGACAAATAATAATAACAACAGCTCCTGTAACTGACTGGTTAAGAGAGAGTTGGCTAATGACTACTGTAAGATAGAATACTGTGTGAACGACTTAGCAGTACTGGTAATCTGATTTTGTTATTGCATACGACAAAACTTGCGCCTAACATTCCACTGCTGTCCAGTATTTATCCTATCAGATATTTCTATCACATTTGTGCTTATTCGTCTATGATTTTTCAAGTCAATTATCTGACAACATGTCTACTAAAGCTTAGAATGGCGTATTCCAAGTACTCGATCATTCATTCCACCGTTTCTGTGCCATTATTTGCTGTCATATGAACACCATTAGTGTAGCTTCATCGGTTACAAATTCCGTCAGTGCAATGTGAAATGTCCGTCAACGTGGCTGGAATAAATCTCTGAAAATGAATCTCTATCAATAATAGAGTTTTACAAATAGATCTTTATTTCTCTTCGGTGTTAAAAGTGGTTTCAGTGTCTTCAAAATTACAGCAGATAAAGATCAAGAAATATGCCGCTCTCACCAGTATTTCGTATAACTCTGATTGAGATATGTAGTGAAAAAAAAGGGGGAGAAAATAGTCTTTAAACAGTCATTTAATTGAAACTAGAAAATAGGTATAGTATTGTTTCTCTGATATTATTGTAAGATTGTACTGTAAACTGTTTAAACCATCTTGATTCATACGTTGAACTGCTTTATTCAATAGACTATAACGTAATTCAAGTTTTGAACGAATTTGTTTTTTATGCGGTAAAGCATAATAACGTCCAATTGTTGAATTTATATGAATATATTTAATGTTTAAAGCATTTAAACGTTTCTCAAAATCATCATCTTCAGCACCCCATCCCCAATAACTATTTGAATATCCATTGACGTTGATAAAGTGTTCATTTGAAATTTTTAAAACACCACCAATTAATGTTTTATAGGGGAGAATATAATTCCATGAACTTACACTAACACTTAAATGTATAACTGCTTGCTTAGTTTGTTCATCACATCCATAAGGAATTCTATCATTCATTGGTACTAAATCTGCATCATGAAAAATAATACAATTAAAAAGGAAATGTTTTTTTGCTTCTATAAATCCAATATTCATTAACATTGCTTTATTCAAATAAGCATCACCTTCTTGTTCAATAACAAATATTCGATAACATAAACGTTGCTTCTGAAGAAGTGGAATAAGTGTAGACAATGTAGTGTTTAACTGCTTCCACCTATCTCTACATACAAATATAATAGCTACACCAGATTCTGTAGCATGGTTACAGTTTACTTTTGAGTTGTTAGTCTCCTCTTTAAACATCCATGAACCACCAATATGATGTGGTAGGAAAGCATCGTTTATTACACTCATATTATCCAATAATTTTGTATCTAATGGTAATACTCCAATTTGTTTAAGCTCATCTATTTTATGCTTAGGAATACTTGGAATATTTTTGCAAACTGTTCGACATGTCTCAATAGTATCATCATACTTTGTATTTGTAATGAGAAGTATTTCGCGTGTATAATTATAAACAATCTGTTTTGAACTGAGGTAATTTAAATGTATATGAACAATTAAGATAATATGAAATGTAAGTAGAATAATTTTAAAGATTACAATAAGATTTCCAAGTGATTTCTTATGGAGAAGCATAATAATCAGGAAGAACAATACACCAGTTGAAAGGTTAATTCTATAAGGTATAAATAAAATCTCCAACTTTCGACCAATCAACTCACAGTTCATAGGGACCAATCAAACTGTTGATTTTACAATTGAATTCACTCGCAAAATGGGTACAAGACGTAAAGATGATTGGCTGACAGGTAACTTCTTGTGTGTAGAATGAACAGAATTTAGGAAACAATTTGTTTCTATGATATTACCAACCAACGAATAAACGATATTGGCATTTCAGTCATTGTTAATACTTCATTTAAGTAGTGTCGTGGATATGTAAACATGGGAGGCGTAAATGAGATGAAAAACTCAGTTAATGCAAGTTACTCTGATAAGCAGATTTTAGCCTACAGTCTGTAAGATGACTGCATCACCTTGGTTACTTAGTGTTCAATACACGTAGTTTTAGGCATCAAGTATCGATAGTCCTTTCCTCCCTTTGAATGTGGTTCTTGTAGAAATTTAGAACTGGATGATAATTGTCAAAGACTCTTCTTCTCACGACCAGTTTATTTAGTCCATCTCATGTCTTTTACTTTGGATACCAAAAGAAATTTTTAGGAGATATTCACCACATGTTTAGAACAGTTGATGATGTAATGTTGGAAGTAATTAGTCATAAGAATCACCATTTCGCCAGTTAACCACATCCAAATCAACAATGATTTTTTCGGATCTTGATTTTTTCCGAGAAACAATCACATATCCAATAAACTTAAGCTTACTGTGGTCACGCTTGGTGTCAGTATAGTGAGTGAAAAATGCTTTTCTTCCATGTCTTCATCTAATCGTCGACAATGTGAAACTGTTTGATGATGGATATGTAGTTGTTTATGCAACTAGCTCCATGAGAGCAAGATTAATTTTGATCAGTTTCGCTGTTATAACATACGGTTACGCAGTCCAATTTACTGGATGATATTTTGAGGAGAATTTCTTGCTTTTAATCACACTATTCAATTTCTGATCTTAGTTATTACAGTTCTACTCGTTTTCCTTTTTTTTTGTTCGTGTTTATGGTACAATTTTCGGGATTGGTATCAAGTTATTTTCCACTATACTTGTTAAGGATTTAATCAATAAAGAAGTGGTCAACGTTTTCTCGCACCAGACAACATTCATCTCTTTAGAAATGTTAATTTATCACAGTCTGTTTTGTGGTTGTCTGATTACCTGTATAAAAATGGCAAGGTTCTTTATCTCAGTAAAGTTTGTTATTTTAAATTTTCAATAACCTTATAACCACGTAGATGATCCTGTTCAGTTGAATTGATCTTATAAACTTTACCTCACAGTTATTACACGGTATTTAGTGGATTAAATTATTTTATCTGTTAGGGTCAGTATCGTTCTTAAGTTGATTAATTTTTGATTCGAACTGATTTGTCAGTTTGAATGTCATAGTAAAGCCTGACTTTTTTAAGAATCCTACATAGGATTTATGACATATCCCTTACTTATGTGGCAACACTATGGAGGTAATTGCATTGTAGTAATTGCTTAAATGCAATCCTTCCACTTCCTTTAGAATTTCTGAATAAATTTAAGGGAATAGTTGTGTTGAAGTAAATTTCTATCATATACTTAACTTATTTGGCGAGACTTGCTCGTCAAATCTCTAGCTGCATTACTTCGACATTTTACATAATTTCAAGTTGTTATTCATTGTAGACTGACATCAGTTGGAGGAACAAAGGAAACCTGGGAGCACTGAACAGCTGTTTCGTCCTAGTGTGGGACTCCTCAGCAGTGCCCACCCACGACCCCGCCCTCCAGGGATCTAACCTGCGACCTTCAGGTTCAGCGCGTTACCGTTGAGCCACGGAGTCAGAATCTAATGCTCCATATTTCCAACTTCCGTCGTAACCGGTGGAGTCAAAGCCTGATAGCCGTGAGGACAGATACTCAACGATCACATTGGGTGGCGGTTGCGCTATATCGTGAGCTAACAGAAGTTGGAAATATGGAGCATTAGATTCTGACTCCGTGGCTCAACGGTAACGCGCTGACTGTGGAACCTGAAGGTCGCGGGTTAGATCCCTGGAGGGTGGAGTCGTGGGTGCGCACTGCTGAGGAGTCCCACACTAAGACGAAACAGCTGTCCAGTGCTCCCAGGTTTCTTTTGTTCCTCCAACTGATATCAGTCTACAATGAATAACAACTTGAAATATTTCCAAATCTCCACAACTCCCTCAAAATTTAATTTTACATAATCTTTCACTCATGCAAGGTGACACAAGTTATTAGAATGCAACAACTTTATTTAATGTAATTAGAGGGCGTAGATTATCTGAAAAATGTGATGTATTAGCGCTATACGTTTCGAACAGTCTGATCACACATTTACTTGTTAAGGCATATATATGAAAACTGGAAATGCTGGAAGGATACATATGACATAAAGGAATTCAAAAATAGGGATGATAATGAGAGGGAGAAAAAGATAAGATTTGAAGACAATCTTGGTAATACGATAAAATAATCATTACCAAGATAGGCTTAATGTAGGGACAAACTGTTTTTGCACACACAATGGGGGGTTAGATTTATTTATGGCTAGCGCTTCAACAAAATTCAGTATACGCCCTTGACAGTTTCTGTACAAAATTGTAAAGGCTGTTTTGATATCAGTTCTGTGACTCTTATCAATGATATGTTTCGCAACATCTGTTTATTAACCATCGTCTTGTCTTCATTTCATTTTACATTCTAACATAGCTACTTCTCATTGTTCGTCTCCTAACTAGAAAGTGGGTTGAATTCTATGATTAACTGAGTTCATATGCATGAAGAAAGTATGAATATGTTTTGATGTCAATGTAATATATGTATAATACACACATATCTCTACTGTACTATTAACTTAGGAATAAATATTCTAAGAATCACACGTTTCCAAGTGTGCATAAAAATATCTGCTATGACTGTGATATTAGTTACCTCATTGTTACATGTTCTGTTTGTTAATGTATTTTATCTTTAAATCTGGAAGTTGTAGAGGGCAGACATAATTAAATCCTGAATATGATTTCTTCAACGGCTAGATTAGTTCATCTAAGGAGCTAAGTTCCGACAGCTTCTAAAGCATCGAAGCTAATAATCTATTCTTCGACTTGAATCTGAATATTATTTAACAATCGCTTCATCTAACAGGCAGGCTTCAGGAAGTACAAATCATGTGCAGACCAAATTGCAACGCTACACTACGCATCATCATAGAACAGAGCATAGAATGGCAATCAGCTCTCTACCTCAACTTCATCGACTTCGAGAAGGCCTTTGACAGCGTCGACCGAGAAGTAATTTGGAAACTGCTTCAATACTACGGAGTACCGCAAACCTTTATCCGCCTCATTCAACAACTATATGAAGATGCCACATGCCGGCCAAGTAATTCACAATGGGAAGCTCAGTGATGTCTTCGAAGTGAAGTGAAGACAGGAGTGAAGCAAGGTTGCCTGCTATCCCCCATGATATTCCTGATTGTGGTGGACTGGTTCATGCAGCAAACAGTGGGGAGCGAGAAGAGGGAGATACGCTGGCTGGACTGTGGAAAAGAACCTAGAAGATCTGGATTTCGCCAACGATGACTTGTGCCTGATGTCACATAAACTTGAAGATCTACAGGCGAAAACTAACAAGTTGACAGAAGAGGTGGGGAGTGAAGACTGGACTTCAAGTGAACACAGAGAAGACAGAAGTGATGAAGATACCCAACCAACAACTCCAACAACAACAAGAACAAGCTCCAATCACCATCAATGGGAGAAACTTAAAGGAAGTAACCTCCTTCACTTATCTGGGAAGCATTGTTTCAACTACAGGTGGCACAGGCACAGATGAGGACGTCAAAGTCAGAATCGGAAAAGCAAGACAGGCTTTCATTAGCCTGAAACCAGTGTGGAGATCTGCACTCAGCATGTGGAACAAGATACGGATTTTCAACACCGATGTCAAGTCAGTGCTCCTGTATGGTTGAGAGACTTGGCGCGTTACGAAAGGGATTTCCAATAAACTACAGACATTCATCAACAACTGCTTACGCTGGCTCGCTACTGAAGCTCAGATGGCCAGAACGAATAAGCAACAAGGAACTCTGGCTGGCTGGCAACGAACCAACCAAGAAGCTATTGCTCAACAAATATGCACTGGAAGGAAGTGGAGATGGATTGGACATACAGTGAGAAGGCCGACTGGGGACATCACGCGTCAGGCCAGGTACTCGAGTGGAATCCCCATGGGAAGCGACGAGTTGGACGTCCGAGGGTGACATGGAGGAGGTCATGCGAGGAAGAAATGAGAGGTTGTGGGCTGTCGTGGAGCCAGGTTCAAAAGATCTCAGAGAACAGAGGTCACTGGAGACGTGCTACTGAAGCCCTATGTTCCACTAGGAACCCAAGAGACTAATAATAATAATAATCGCTTCATCTAATACGAATTGGTTAATCTAGCAATTGAGTGGTGTCAGTCTTAGGCATAATGATAATGTTCATTTTAGCCTAACCAAGCGTTTACCCACCAATAGAACTGGTTGGTTTTCGACTTGGAATTTTTCCAAATGGGATAACGAATCTAGATTAATATGGTGGTTTACTGTTACTAGGAATTAGTATTAAGCATTTAAAACTACTTAGATCACTTCAAATTTGAGATTGTGGTTGTAATAATGTATGGAGATGAACCATTTATCATTGTGACATTTAAGAGTTAACTGGTGTTCATCAAAGCATTTTTAGTACATGAAATGATAATTCTTTCGTTAGTTTCTCCGGAGTGGGTTCTTTTCATTTGTAAAGGTATTTTTCGATTAAATTCTTCCACTGACTGACTGTTCAATGAGAACTTGATAATTGAAAGGTTTAATTCTAGAACTTCCTTTCATTCTGCTTGGCTGGAATTTACTTCTTTTTTGTCAGTCGTATTCTTATACAAATTTATGATTTGACTTCATTGCTGTTTCGTTTCAAGATGTGATTTGTATGAACTATTTTATGTATACTTGAGTTCCTATGGTAATCACTCTCATAAAGAAATTCATAGGCGACATTAATCATCCCTTTCCCTCTCGTTCGGGAGTGTGATTCTATTAAACAGACTGTCAACTAGGCTTTCGATTGATTCATCGTCCTTTTAGGTAGAGTATACCAACATATTGTCCACGTATCTTTCTCACAATCTTGGCCTAATAACTGATTAGATCATCTTTTTTAAAGAGTGGATAATCGCTTGTGCTAAGGTCATGAAATCGG